TCAACAAAATTTTCGTAATTTGAAGCAAAGATCGTAATTTTTCTTTTTGAATGCTTAAGTATTCCAATATACCAATTAAACATGGAACAATTTCAAAATAATGCTTAATAACAAAGTTAAAATTCGATCTTCAACTGTTAATATCTTCTAGACATTAAAAAAAATCTCAATATTTTTCTCGTACTCCCCGAGGGAGCCTCTATCACCCCTTAAAAGGAATGACGCCAATTTTGAATCACCCTGTATACAAACGATCTAACTTCTGTTGTCTTTTACTTACTTTTACAGCGCCTATACGTTTGCACTATTAAATAATTTGAATCCATTTAATAAGTAATCCATTTAAGAAGAAAAGGTTCAGCCGGTCGTGACTGGTTAGAGGGATATTTAAGACGCAACCCACATATTAGACTCAGGAATCCTGAATCAACCAGCATAAATCGTGCAACGGCTTTCAACAAAGAAGGAATTTGAATATTTTTTGCAAACCTGAATGCTGTAAAGGACAAGTACAAATTTTCACCATCATGGATTTATAACTGTGATAAAACAGGCATCACAATAGTACAAAGCCCAAGCAAGATAAAACGGCGAAAAAGGGCATTTAACTAGTTGGGAGAAGGGAAAAACTACGACTGTCATGTGTTCATTTAGCGCATCTGGAATATACGTTCCTCATCTATGACAGAAAAAGAATGACCCATCACTTATCACACTACAAAAATAGCGGACCTCCAGGATCTATTTATCGTAGCTCAGGTAACGTATAGATGACCGAAAATTAATTTGTGGATGATTGTAACACTTTGGGTAGTGTGTTAAAAGTTCAAAAGAAGATCCAGTTTTGTTGTTACTAGATACCCACTATACTCATTGTTGGTTAAGTGCCTACAACTTCTGCAAGGAAAGAGGAATTATTCGGCTGACGATCCCTCCACATACGTCGCACCGTGTTCACCCGCTTGTCGTTACTTTTCATGGTTCTTTGAGGACAATTCAGAATGTCATGAGTGTATGAGGAAGAATCTCGGAGAAAAAATTACGCAATTACGCCTAATATCGTTGCTGATTTGCTCAACAAAGCTTTTGGGAGAGTTGAGAAAGCTATCAAAGGTTTTCAGGTAACGGGAATATTTCCTATCAATTCTGATGTTTTAAATGCAGAAGATTTTGCCCCCTCTGAAACGATACAAACTACAAATTTCAATGAACCGATACCTGAAAACCATCAAATAGAAGATCAAATAACCGGAGAAAGGGCAGAAGATATAAGACAACAAAGCTTCAAAGCCGACCCAAACAAAAATGAAATAAGACAAACTATATCATTTGGAGAAGTAATACCAAATCCTGTGTGCTCTGGTACTACTACCCAAAGAAGAAAAAAATGTGGGAACAAGCAACACTCTCAAATATTTACTTCTACTCCAATGAAAGGTTTTTTGGAGGCAAAGAAAATTCAAAGTTGCAGAATGTAAGTCATAGTCGAGAATAGCCCAAAACAAAGAGTAAAAGACAGGTTTTTGGTAACTTTGATGATACCAGCGTTTTAGTAAACAAAAACATCAATATTACCATAAAACAAAAACCAACGCTTAGAAACAAAACTAAGGTAACTTACGAGGGTCGTTGGTTAGTCAATGACTTTTTGAATTTCCGGCGCAGTAACTTTAAATGCAACACTACTACCGTCAACTATCGTCTGTTAGTAAACTGCTGTGAAATTTTGAGCACGGTACGTCTGATGACTTCGTCAATTTCGACGAAAATGGAAAAAGGTGACTTTCGAGTGCTGATCAAGCATTATTTTTTACGTAAAAAACCATCAATTAAGCGAAGGAAATGGTCGATAAATACTATGGGACTCGGCACCATCAATTTTAATATGGTCATCAATGATCGATAAAATCTATGGAACGTGGTGCGTAAAGCGCGGCTGAGGCTGTAGATATCTCAACTGAGAGGATACATCACATTTTACATGAATATTTTGATATAAAAAAGCCATTCGCACGATGAGTGCCGCGATTGCTGACACTCGACCATAAGCGCTCCCGTGTGACGATTTAAAATTAATTTTAAATGAAAGTTTAGCGATGTTCCGTCGCAATCGTTGACGAAACGTGGATCAATCACAACACACCAGAGACCAAAGAACAATCAAAACAGTGGATTTCTTTAGGTGAACGATCACCAAAGAAAGCCAAAATGAGTCTGTCAGCCAACAAGGTGATGGCCACAGTTTTTTGGGATGCACGCGGTGTTATTCACATCGAAGTTTCCAGTTTCCAAACCTGAAGAAATGGCTACGCTGTAAGAGATTTGGGTCCAATGAAGAGGTCATTATTGAAGCAAACGCATATTTTGAGGACCTCGCGAAATTATATTATTTGGAGGGATAAAAAAATTGGAAAGACGCTGGACTCAGTGTATCGAGCGAAAAGGAGATTTTGTTGAAAATTAAAACGTTTTTGGTCGGAAAAAAACATTTATTTCATTCAAAAAGTCATTGACTTATCACACGACCCTTGTATAATAAATGTGAGGAAGAAGAGGAGCAAAAGGAAAACTCAGACTTTACTCGAGAAATAGAAATTGATTTGACATCCTGCTTCAAAGTGTTGAATAAAATTGAAACATAACCTATATGTAGTATTTTCAAGCAGAATAAAAAAACAGTGAAAACTCAAGCTTAATAAACATTCGTGACAATTCGGTTGTCATTTTTTTATTGTCGCCCGGTAATATAATTTCGACAAGACGGCGCTTCAGCTCATAATACGATAATACATATACATGCGATAATTTCTTTTTTAAAACGTTGATAAAATTATAACTTTCGTACGTTCCACGGTCCTATAATATACATTTTCCTGTACGATTCCCTGATACAACATTAATATTTTTGTGGGATTCAATAGCAGAAAAATAACAAAATACAAAACTAAAACTTACAATACGGCTAGTACTAGGCCATTTATCAAATTTTTAAAGCACCTAATACTGCAAATAGTGGCGATTTAAACAATTATTTAATTTTTCCACGTTTTGACTTCAGCAAACAGCAGTAAAAAGAACTAAATGTTATTTAAAAAATAGAAGCTTTTTATGTAGAAGCAATTTGACTTCAATGATAAAAATAAGTTCTTTTTTGTTATCATTACCGCGCAATGTTTTATTTTGGTTTTAGTATCACTATCAGAACCAACGCAAAAATACAAATTTTCTTGTTCCCCTGGTGGAAAGTCCACAGTTTCGCCACTGTTTTCGATGGCGAAAGAATCACATTTACTCATTACAATGACATGACGATGACAATTTACCTTTCCGCCCATTATTCATCAGGATCATTCAGGAGGATCAAGAATAATAGTATACGATACGCGGGACAACAGTCGCAAGCCCGCCACTGGGTGATTGTCAACTTCAAGTAGTGACGGAACTTCGATTTTCGTCTCTTGTATCGTAAAATACTATTATTGGCTTTACTAATTATGCGCACTTAATTTGGTACTTTCGCTACCGTTTTTGAGATATCTACATATCTCGAGAACGACAATTTACTATAGTATCTAAGTATCTGTAGAACACTCACCCAATTTTCCTCGCCTTTTGATTAATTGATCAGGTTTGACGACTAATTTTTCGGTTTTCAACCAGGGATTGTTTGCTACCAGTTCAGCAAACTTAGTGTTGGGATCGACACTAGCAAATCGGCACTGGGTGGCTGCAGTGTTTCCACCCAAATGCTTGTTAATCAGGTTCTTTCCTGCAGCTTCGCGGATTGCCTTTGCTGACATTCTGCTTCTTTTCGATTACTGTAACTTATAAAGAAATAAAATCATTAGGTTGGTCGAGTTATTTTAAAAAGCCGATAATAAGTGAGAAAGTGTCCATGGTGTATGTAGAATTACTATGCTTGAAGATAATATGAAAAACTATACTCAATTTACGTTTTCTGACTTCTTTCAGGCAATAGTAAAAACGCGCGACAGATAAATAGTGATCTTAATAAGGTAGTTGGATGGGAATCAAATGTATGATAATAAAAAGTCAATATAATAACGTAAATTCACAAATCATGACGGAAGTTTTACAGGTCAAGAAAAGATAAAGCAGAGGCTCTAGTATAAATATTTGAAGGTACTAAAAGACCATAAATTAACATTTTCTAGTCATGCACTATATGTATCTAAAAAAATGCTTAACACCATAATTTGTAAGCATGTAAGCATGCGAAATTTGCGCATGTGGCCTAAACTAAAAGTGTTGTTAAACGATTTTGTATTGATTAAATAATAAAAAAGAGAATATTCTACAAAAAAAACAAAATCATCTTCAAGAATAATTTTAGAATGTAGTAAATACAGTAGTGGTGTTAAGTACATGTTGGTATGTTTAAATCGCGTAAGTGATAAGGCAGATCATATCGCCGGCTGAGAGGAACAACCGGCTACCTAGCGACCCGGTTTAAGAACCGACCAACTCGCGACCCGCTTGAAGAACCGGTTAACTCGAGAGCGTTTTTATTTTCTCTAAATTTGTAATGGCAGCCCTGTACCATTTTAGTATACGATTCCTGTTAAATATACGCTATTAAAAATTGTTGTCCTATACATTCACATTTTTTTTATTTTGAAATTGTTGAAATATTTTTAAAATTTTCAAAACTCATTACTTATTGGCAACGCTACCAAGCATCTAACCTCTTTTAATATAAAAATAATAAAAACACCCTCATTGAAGTTTCTGTGTTATTTTTTTGTTTTTTTATTAAAAAATGGTAGGTGCATGCTTTATAGAAGGATTGCCAGTAAGTAGTGAGTTTTCAATTTTTCTTTAATGTTTTGACACCTACCAAAAATAATCAATATTTTTCAAAATATTTCAACAATTTTTCAAATAATTTTGACAAAATTGCAAATGTATGTATAGGACAATAATTTTTAATCGCGTATATTCAAAAGTAATATTATATTAAAATCGCACAGGGCTGCCACTACAAATTTAGAGAAAATAAAAACACTCTCGAGTTAACCGGTCTTTCAAGCGGGTCGCGAGTTGGTCGGTTCTGGCCGTGAAGCAAATTCGGTTCAAATACTCGTGTCAGGTCACCTCATGCGCGTCGTAGGCGTCTCAATTGCGCCTAAGGCTAGGCGCAAATTATAGCCGCTACAAGCAATTGCGGGCGACAGTCACCGAGGATGAAAATTGTTACTTTCTCAAGGTGGCTGGACAGGACGCTGCAGCCGCTGCTTACGCCAGACGCATGCATCAGTCGCACAAGCAAACCCATGCCTTAAGGCACAGCATAAATATTATGAATTATATGATGTAAATTATAAAATAATTTTAAGCTGTGCCCTAAGGCACATTTTTGTTCGGTGCTTGCAGACGTGTTAATTTTGTTTTCTTCTAACTACATATTCATAATTGATTACCCGCGTATTCGTATGTTTTGTTTCATCTACAGCCCTTTCCTATCCAATACAAAAATGTAAATTTTTAAATAAACCACGTGACAAAACCAATACACTTTGTGATCATCAGTCAAGTAATCAGATCACCACTCTCCTCGCCCTTTGTTGGCGTGAGTTCTTTCAGCTTCTGCTATGTTACTGAAGCATTTCCGCTGAACTAATCGCATATCAGCAAATTCGTGAAAGGAAATTCAAAGTAAGTCACAGTTTGACAAATTATTGTTGTTAAAAACATCATTGCCGCTTTGACTTTCCATCAAAAAATTGTAGAACAGAAGTTTTTCAATATCGAAAATTTTCGTAATTTCAAGCAAATATCGAAATTTTTCTTTTTGAATGCTTAAGTATTCCAATATGCTACCAATTAAACATAGAATGCTTTCAAAATAATGCTTAATAACAAAGTTGAAATTCGATTTTCAACTGTTAATATCTTCTAGAAATGATCGAAAAAAAATCTATATTTTTCCCGTACTCTATAAGTGCGCCCCTATTAGCCCTTGAAAGAAATTATGCAAATTTTGAACCACCCTGTACAATTTGTGTACAATTTTGTGTACAATTCGAGTATGTGAAAGGAAAACCAGCTCAAAACTCATCCATATACGAGAAAAACGTGACGAATAGAATAGGCATGATGACAGTATAAAAGAATCAAAGAATAAATTGTTTTAGAGAAAAGTATATAGCCATCTGAACGATCTGGCTTGCGCAAGCCAAATCTGTGCAAATGAACTGAACGAAGATCTTGCATTTACACGTTCAGTTCGTTTTACTCAAATCACCCAGCTGTGAAGTGAGGAACACCCAAAATCGTATTGTTGCCAACAAGATGGAACATGTTTATTCGTGGAAAACCAGTGAGGTTCGGGTTCAAACTATGGTGCTTGTGTTCGCTACTGGCTACTTGTTCAATTTTATTCCGTATGGAGGAAAATCTGAAAAAACTGAACGTAACACTCCATTAGAAACCAGAGTGGTTTTGGATGTTCTTTCAGTTGTATATAATCCGCCACAGCATAGAGTTTTTTTCGATAACTTCTTCACCTCTTATTCACTTTTTGCTGCACTGATAGAAAACGGCTTTTTGCTACAGGAACAGTAAGAGAAAATTGAATTTCCAAATGTCCCCTTGAAAACAATAAAGCTATGGCCAAAAAGAAAAGAGGTTCTTTTACGTCTGCATTTGATTCAGAGCTGGAGGTTCTACTGACACGATGGAATGACAATTCTGTAGTTACTGTGATGACAAATGTAGGTACAATTTTTCCTGTTGTCCAAACAAAACGATACAATCGAAAGTAACGAAAAGAGATCCTTAACCCCCAACCGGATGTAATAGAACATTACAATAAATACATGGATGGAGTGGACCTTCATGACAATGGTATTGCCAACTATCGTATCCGAATAAGAAATAAGAGGAATAAATGGTGGTGGCCGTTATTTATCAATATGATCGACAGTTCAGTTGTGAATAGTTGGAAAATATATAAACTTGTTAACGATTCCAATATTTCCCAACTCGAGTTCCAATCACTGTTAGTAATCAACCTTCTCAAATACAGCGTGTAAGAAAAGGACGTTGAAAATGCATCTAGTGCTGAAGCATCTCATTCAACATACGGCAGGCCCTCCTCCAATGCCTTACTAGATGACGTCAGATTTGACAACTTTAGCCATATTATAATTAGGGAAGTTGAAAGTGCAAGACAAAAGTGTCGGCTTTGTAAAAGTAATACCATCTACCTTTGTAAGAAATGCAAAGCGCACCTTCATCCGGACTGTTTTCAGTTTCACTCACTTCAGTTCAAGAAGTTTCACGTTAAAAACTAGTTTATATATTTAGTTCAGTAACATAAGATATATTTCTTTAAAGTTTTGTAGCCTCTTTTAGCCAAAGCTGCGTAACCGCACCTTCCTGTGTTTTCTACACCAGCAGGATCATTTTATGCTTTATTGAAAATTAGCCTTCATTATATTATATTTTGTTCACCTTATTAATAAATCGACAAAATTTCTATTTTTTATTACCTTGGCCGTTAATGGGTTAAGTCGCGTTATAAGATAGCCACGATTGATAATGTCTGGATCTTTTGAACATTATTCGAATTTCAGGACTAGTTCAACAACTCTTGAACTGAACTTTACTCTCTTCATTTCCTACAAAACTTATGAACAATCAGATTCCTGAACTAGTTGATATTGTATGAATCGGCGACAGTTTTAGCCTAATGCAATTAAATGAATTTGTCGATCTCTAACGATGCGCCGTTCGCTTGAGGCAATTTTGGTTGCACAGTTGATCGGTTGAGAATCTGACGCACGCGCATTTTTAAGCTGTTGGATAATGCGGTAGAGATTTGTCGGAGATAGATGGAGGCATCTCCGAACCATCGCCAGATGATGATAGTAATAATAATAATAATAAACATGTAAAGTTGTTACATATTGCATTACATTTTTTATTGTTTAGCAGAGATTTCGAAATCAATTTGTAGATTTTCTCAACGTTAAKAACGGCTTTCACCGTTAATATGTATTTTCTTAAAAAAGAAGATCTTATCCTTCGAAGCAACTAGCCGCGATGGATAGCGCCTATCTTTTCTGCCTTTGACGGCGTTCCAGCGCCGATTTTAAAAATGATTCCAGGAGCTAACTAAAAGCAGTGCCGAACCTTTATACGTAAATTAGACAAACGAAGAACAACTCTGCATCAAAAACCCGTCGCCTTTTCGTCGACTGCATTACGGTCGGCCATCCGCCAAAACAATATCCGGCAAAGTGCCGATGATCGACTATGCATACCGGCGATARAGTCGCTACACTCGGTAACATATCRAAAAAATCGGTCATAACTTGTCCCAAAGTAGAAAGAACTTAAAAATGCAACATTTGATGAAACGGGCCGCTAAAAATTACTTTTAAACAATGAGTGAGAAACTCCCTCACGCAGCCTTAAAATGACAATTTTCAGAAAGGAGAAAAGAACCGGATGAGCAAAAACTATTCACGTTAGACAGAATAATTCGTCCAGGACCGAATAGAGGATTAGCAGTGAGGACGCATGGATATCTTAAGAAAAATGCCTTAACTACATATTAGCGCGATGATCCGGTGCTTCTTCATTGCAAACTACGTAAAACTCTTCATCGACCTTGAGTAAAACTAGGACATTTTTCTTTTTTGATCTTTGACTTACTTAGTACACCTCCTACACAAACCTTTATTCCTCCTTATTCAACTTCACTTTGATTATGCACTATTATTAAATCGTCGTTGACCAATTTATTACAAGTACTTACTGGAAGTTGGTCCTTCATGTTGAGATGAAATAATCTAAT